TTTCATTTGCATTTGCTTTATGCTCTGTGTATGGTGGTGTAGGTCAAGTGAACCAGGTTGTTTTCAAGCCCATGTTCAATTCGTGTCTTCACTGCATTTTTAAGTAAAAATATAAAAAGAAATAAATTAACATTATCCACTTCTATGTAGTAAAGTATAGTGTGCTTCTTACCTAAGGAATGTAACTGGGTGGTGGGCCATTAAAAAAAGCTGTTAGTCGAGTCATTTGATTTAGTAGAGATAAAAATTGTGAATGCCCTTCAGGCTCTAGGACACAGTGAGACAAAATGAGGAAAAGCTGTCCTGTTCCACTGATCTTCCACATTGCCTAGCACTTTCCTCTTGCTTGTAAAGCTCCATCATTACAGCCCCTGAGGGCTCCACAGAGGCTAATGAGTTTCCCCTCACAACTGAGGAACTAAACGCAATCTACCCAAGGTCCTGGTTATGTGCTGATAATATGTTCTGCCTTCATTTTTCTCCTCTACTTGCTGTTTAGTTACTTGCAGCCCAGGTCTGTCCTGTTTGAAATCAGTGGCATTTAAGAGTGATGACTGGAGATGTGCCTTCTGGATTGAGGAGTCACTTCTTGATGAAGAAGGTCGAGAAGGCAGCAGTTGTCACTTCTTTAAGGACATGTGATAGAGGTGAATACCACTTGTATTTGCCAAACACAGAAAGAACGCCTACTGACAGCAGAGGCTCTGCTTCTGCTCGTACTTCTTGTGATGGTATAAACACCACTCCTTGACATCTATCATAAAGGCTTCAGTCAATTCATTATCAATTTTTGGAAGAAAAAAAAAAGCGCAATATGCTGGCCTGTAGTTATGTATGAAAGTAAGTGGAGTGATCCTTTCATCTCAGGTTTTACAGAACGACTTCTCTGACTTCTCATGTTGTGTGAAAATAATTTGTGAGAGTGAAATACAGAAACAACCTTTTTAACTTACGCACTTTATTTGTTTGTGTGCTTTATGTATTTGAATATAGAAATGGTGCAAGTTGTGTGCTTTTTAAGACATGGTAATTTGTGAAAGAGGAAACAGTGCCAACAAAAGAGAGTGCAGTCTGGAGTAAGGAGCCCTGTGGCCATGTTCTCTGAAGCTGCCTCTGGCTGCTGTTTCATTAGTTTGCTGGCAAAGCACTGAAACCTGAATTTTCAAGTGTTATTTAATTTGGAGTGTATTGATGTCTAGTTGCCTGAATGGATAGGCAAGTCAGACTTGCCCAAAAGATTGGTATCAGGAAGGATTTGGAATGACGAAAATTGATGCTTCCTGAACTCAGATTATGTTATGAGGTGCAAATGAGAGCAGTAGGCTATTATCATTTGCCTTTCTCTTGGGCAGCTACATAAGAAAGCCACAGGAGCCCTGATCACTAGGACACAAGGACCCAAGATCCCCTGACTAGTGCTCACTCCCTGGGCCAAATCGCAGAGTACCTGCTCTGCTGGGGCTGCTGTGGAAGCAGGACAGAGTGAAGGAAACAAACTATTTACACGTCACAAGCCGTTCTTCATCCAGTTATTTTAAGGAAGGATCTTATGATGGATCACATGGGTCAAGTTTGCATCCAGGATAGTACTGGTAGTTCAGCAGTAACCAAGTGGGAAGAAAAGGATCAGTAGATGCAGTGAAACCAAAATGTCATAATATTTAGCAGAAACTTCCTGACATGACTAATCCAGGAGACTCATGGGGCAAATCTTAGTAACTATCAGCTGAATATATTTTTATGTAATTAATATTCTGTCAGGTGATCCTAACCATTAACAGGAGCCTGTTTAAAGAAACAAGGAAATAGTAGGCTAAAGGAGGTGTCATATAATGAAGTGTAATTGGTGTGGGATTTTTATTCGTTAAAGGCAAAGCTCTGCCCTCGCTGGTGGCTCTGGACTGGCTTGGTACGTGCTCCACACGGGAGGATGCTGCTTGAGCCCTCTGACAGTACGTTGTTGAACATTCCGCTCCGTTTCTGCGATGCTAAAAATAGTTGTCCTCATTTTAAAACACCGGGCTATTAGATTATTCCAAGGGTCTGGCATACTCAGGGTAATGGAAGGCACATATCCATAAATTATCAAAACAGTAAGTAGTGTTTGACCGTGCTGATTTTACTTCTATTAAGATGAGTTTCCTCGCTAGTAACCCTGGAGTACCAAGCCTATTCTGTAAATCAAGCTCCTGGCAGTGCCCCAGTAAATTTAAAAATAAAGGGAAAAATGTTTGGTTTTCATATTGAGCATGGAGAAGCATCTGACTCTTTCTGTTTCTTGGTGGTTTTGAGTTTGGTTTTTAAGTTTTGCAGAATCATATCTGAAAAATGGTTAAAGCGTTTTACAGTAATTGTTTCTTTTTCCCAGCCTTGAAGAAAATCTCACGAAGTTCCAGCATGTTTGCTATTATAAATCATGCTAATGCCTAAAATGCTCCAAATAGCAAAATGCATTCCAAGTGATTGATACAAGTTTCTCTCAACTCTTTTTTTTTTAAAAAAAAAAAAAAAAAAGATAGTATGGTGCCTAATTCATTTTTGGCACCATATTGTTTGGTAGTACAAGTAACCAATGCACTTAATAAAGTTCACATACTTGTATGTTAAGATGAACTCCCTTTTTTGTTTTTTTTTTTAGTGTGAAAGTCTCTCATTAGGGGGAAAAATAGCTAAATGTGAAAGTCGAGGTATAAAAACTGATGTAAATGCATTTTAAGAAAGTTGCTAAGTACAAGATATGAAACATCTTGTTCTGTCTTTGAAAACTTCTAGGTATAACCTGAATCTCTAATTTTATAGGGTGTTGCAGTACAATTACAAACTGCAAAATCAATAAATGATAAATACTTTAAGAACCATGTTTATAAATACACTGCACATTTCCAAAATAGTTAAAGCAGCCACAACTTCAATCATTTTAGATTTAGTAGGAGTCAGTATTGATGTAGGAGGTTATTTTTGCGTCGTTGTGTTGAAGGGATAATCATTTGTAGAACACTGATTAAACAGTGCAAGGCAAAACATCTATGGCTTGTCTCCACAAAAAAACACTGAATGTGATTGTTTTTCAAGTTTACAGTGATCCAGGCAGGGAAGATGAAGAATTATTATCTGGTAACTATTAGACTATGAAGAATTTTTCTGAATTCACGCTGTAAATCTGGAGAGAACGAAGGACTGAAGATGATTTGTAATGATTAATTAGAATTTTTCCCTAGCACTCTAGCATCTATTTTTACAGAGGGGAACTGAAAAGAAGATGTTGGAAACTGTACCATAAGTGGAGTTAGAAAAATACCATTTTAACAAGCTATTTTAAGCTATATTTTAATTGTTATGTATTGTGAGTGCTTTGTATTTATTTGCTTAATTACTTGTATCATTTTGATGAGTAATTGTTCTTTTGTTGGCTCTTTCTGTTAAGAGAGATTGGAGTTTTTTCTTTGTCTCTGTTCTTTTTTTGTGTCTGAGGCATTTGTCTTCTGCTTGGCTTGGAATCAAACAAGTGAACTTCCAAAACTTTCTTTTGTTGCTGAATTCTGGCTTTGCTAGAAAACTGGATTGAATGGTGTGCAAGTTACTGGGGCAAACTTCTGTCAAGGAATTAAGACCCATGAATAGAATGGAGAAAGCATTTGATTTTAGATTCCTTTAATAAATGTTCTAAGCTCCCACTTGAAGTCATATAAGCATGGATGAATTCTTCTAACAGAACTTAGCTCAGTAACTTTAGATTTATTGAGACCAAAATTACTGTACTTCGCGGTGGCATATTTCATGAATCTGTAAATGGAGGGTGGTTCTTAGCTTTGAGTGGCAGAGCTTGGTTCTCACTAGGTCTGTAATTGTTTAACGCACTTTGCTAAGAAGAAATGGCAAAGGAAACTACTGCAATATTTTATGTTTTAATTCTAAATGAGATGTTACTAGGTTTTTAGCTATACCTTTTCTTTGGAAAGCCCTATCTTATATGCAGAACTGAATTGACTGTAGCTTTCAACTCAGAGCTATTGATTTAGTTTTTTGTTTTATTTTGCTCAACTAGTCCTTATTCAGATATCAAAGATGAAGTTTACCATGCTACTCAGCTTGGATAGTTACCTTTTAAAAGCATTTTTGATTAACAAAGTGCTTGTTTGTACTTACGGTCAGTTGCTGAGCATAACTTTTAAGCATCTGGTTTCTTGAATGGAATTTGCAAACCCAAATCAGATTCTTAATTTTCATGGGCAGTGCAAGGAGAAAGTCATTCGGGAGGCAGGGGGTGACTAATAGTCAACTGTGCAGCTGACTGACTTCACTTTTTTAAAACATGGGGTAGCAGAAGCAGTGATTTAACAACATATACAGAACATTCGCTTATGAAGCAGGAGAAACATATTTTTGCCTGCCTGGTTGCACAGGATCAGGATTTGCGTTTCCTCTTGCTGAGTAGGTTGGGCACTCCTGTAGAGATGGGAGCAAGATCTGAAACTGCCCTTGGAGCGGAGCCTAGAAACCAGCAGTCAGCTTTACATGCACAACTCCCTGTGGGACCTAACGGTTTAAGCGTAGATCCCTCTGGGCTCAAGCACCTAATAGGTATTAAGGAGAGAGTGGAAGCTGTGGCAGCCTTGTCGGGATTTTAGGTACTTGAGTAGTATGCAAGTGTCTTCCGAAGTATTTTTTTCTTTTGGAATCAGTGCCTGAAATAAAACTTAGGAAAGATTTTCCTGTGATCCAAACTCTAATCTCTTTTGTTATCCAGTTGTCTGAAGCAATCTACAGTTGTATCTGCTACATAATTAGATGACCTGTAATTGTTAATTGCCTAATATTTTGAAAATGAAATGTGTTTTAACCAAATACAAGTCAACAGACATAAACAACCCTATAAATCAATTCAACTGTTGTGTAGAAAAGGAGTGACAAGCAATACATGTCCACGTATCTTTTTCTCCTAATTTAGTTCAGTGATACATTAGGTCTGTAAAATGATGGTTATATACATTTTGTTTCAGGGGGAAGCTGGCTTAGTAGGTGCTCCTGGCATACCGGGTCTTACTGGTTCCAAGGTAAAACAAAAACACCAAAAAACCCTCAAAAAAAACCCCAAGTGTCATTTTATGCATTTTCACTCTTGACATTCTTTTTGCCAGCTAACCAGTATCTACAGAAATTGTATTTGAACTCCATATCCAGTTTGAGTGGTATAATGTGACAGAAGAACTTTACTATCAGCTTCTCTTTCAGAAGAGAGAGAGCATGTGGTGCGGTGGCACAACCTACCTGTCTGTATTATTTTGCATTAACAGCAGCCGTCCAAGTCTCAGAGCTGTGCAGGTCTTTCCAGCCACAAGACAGCAGATTCAAAAATTGGAAACCTGAGAGTCTTGTGATCTCAGCAAAATGAGATGAGGGACGCTGCTGCTTCTTGCACTCTTCCATTTTACTCTTTTGCTTCTTTCCGGAGGTGGAATAATGTAGAAAGCCCAGAACTTGCAAAAAAGAGAACTCTATATTCTAGACCTTGCTGGTAATATTTGTTAAAGCTGCCTGACTCTTTTCATGGTCAGATTTTGTTTTCTGTTGATTGCAGCTGTGTTTAACTGTAAGTATTTGGAATGAAATCTTAATGTTGCATGCATCTGTCCAGCTAATTCCGCTTAGGAAATTGTAGGAGAAATAGTTCTTCTGCTTCCACAAATTAAGGGACTACATAAAATAACCCATTATTTCATTCATCTTGAAATTTCAAGAAAATGTTCTGCAGCGTGACTTTGATGCAAAGGACTGACTCGTGTATCTTTAGGGCAGATACTTCCTGTAATATAGCATGAAGGGAAGGAAGGAACTTATTTTCTGCAGATGAGGTAGCCAGCATTGAGTTCTGCAGCGTGCTTACCGCTATCTATCAATTACGCGTTCAAAGCCATTGACTTGTACTGCAGGCACATTTAAAACACTGAAAACCTGATCAGTGATCCTGCAGTGATCACATCAAGACGAGTAATCGGTGATTGTCCATGAAAAAGCTTGTGTGAAATGTTTTGCCTAACTTAATATGAGAATTCTGCCACAGAAAGGAGAATTTAAGTCAGTCATAAATGTGTTATTTTGCAACTTTCATTTTTTTTATTTCTGCAGCATTCAGATTCTTTGAAGTAGCTACCAGTGGCTAATATTGTTATATTTTTAATTCTTTTAAGTGAAAATTACCTAAACTTATTTCTCTATGCTTTCTGTTACTGTATTTCTTATTTTCTCTAACTGGAAATAATTTTTTTCATTTCAAATATATGCAAAAAAATCTGGACACTTAGACTGTATTTCTGAAAAAGAAGGAATTAGTTAATCACCCTGTACATTGGTACAGGGTGAGAACTGACCAGTTGAGCAGCAGCACTGCTGAAAAGGACGTAGAGGTAGACATGAGACTAAATTATGAGCTGACAGTGTTCTCCTATTGGGAATAAAGTGAACCGTGTATTGGACTGCATTAGTAAAACTACAGCTGGCGGATCATGGGAAGGTATTTTCCTCCCTTTGCTTGGAGCTACTGCATCTGGTATGCTGTGTCATGTTTGGAGGGTCTTCTACCCTCACTTCTTCAAGAGGTGTGGAGAAACCAGAAGGGGTCCAGCAGGGAGCTAGTGTATGTTCAGGGACCTAGAAAACAAGACCTTTGAGGAGAGTTTCAAGGAGCTAAGTTTGCTGAGTCTGGCAAAGAGACCAAAGGGTGATCAAGACCATCCTGCAGGCCTAAGGAGCCTAGCTGGTTGATCTTCAAGGACAGCTTCCCGAAATCTCAAGAACAGTCCATGCTGATGTGCAGGGAGTTGAACGAGTATGGCAGAAGGTCAGCATGGATGAACAAAGAGCCCCTGACTGAGCTCAGACACAAAAAGAAAGTAAACAGTGGAAACAGGGTGAGCTACCCATTAGAAATATATAAATATTGCCAGAACACGTGATGGAGTTAGGAAACCAAAACCTCATCCAGAATTGAAACTAATGAGGGGTGTGAAGGGCTTCTGTTAACTGAATCCACAGCAAAAATAAGGCTGAAGAAAATGTTGACCCATGGGACATGGAAAAGGCTGAGAGTACCTGATGCCTTTTTTGCCTTGGTTTTCACTAATAAAGTTTTCCCTCAGGCCTCCCAGGTTACTTAAGCCTTGAGCAGAGTGTGTTAGAATGAACCATTGCCCACTGGAGGGGAAGAGACTATTAAGGAGCACTTAAGCTACTTGGACATTTGCAGGATACCAAACAGTATGCATCTAGGGGTTCTGAGGGAGCTGGCTGATGTCCCTGCAAGGCTGCCCTCTATCATTATCAAAAGATCATGATGACTAGGGGAGGTCTGCGATGACTGAAAACAGCAAACATCACATTCGTATTCAAGAAGGATCCAGGGAACTGCAGGCCAGTCAGCCACACCTCTATCCCTGGAAAAATTGTATAGCAAATCCTGGAAGGCATTTCTAAACACATGGAGGACTAGAAGGTGACTGGGAACAGCCAGTATGCCTTCACTGAGGACAAACTGTGCCTGACCAACCTGATTGCCTACTCTGATAAGATGACTGTCTATGTGAACTGGGGGAGAATGGTAGATGCTGTATACCTTGACTTCAGCCAGGCTTTTGGCACAGTCTCCAGTGATACCAGTGTAGACAAATCTGTGAGATATGGACTAGATAAATGGACAGTAAGGGGAGTGGAAGATTGATTGGATTGTTGGGCTCAAAGGTGGAATAACTGCCTGCCATGCAGTCCAGCTGCTACCTAGTAACTAGTGTCATCCCTCATAGGGTGATCCTGGGGTGAGTATTATTTAGCGTCTTACTAATAACCTGAATGATGAAATTCTCAGCAAGTTCATGGATGTTATCAAATATGGGGAAGTAGTCAGTACGCTGGAAGATAGAGCAAGAATGATATTCAGTGGAATCTCAACATGCCGGAGAAATGAGCTAATGCAGAACTTGTGAAGTGAAGCAAAAGCAAACATGAGGTCCTGCCGCTGGGAAGGATTAGCCTCATGCAACAGTACAGGCTAGGTGCCAAATTGCTAGAAAGCAGCTCTACAGAAAAGGAGTTGGAGGAGGTCCTGCTGGGTGCCCTTGCAGTGAAGGCCAACTGCATCTTGGTCTCCCTTAGCAAGAGTATGGCCAGCACAAGAGGAAGAGTGGTTGGTGCTTATGAGACTACATCTGGAGTCCTGTGTCCAGTTTGGAGCTCCCCAGAAGATAAAGAGCAGCTCATTGGGGCGAGCCCAGTAGAGGCCCACCATGACGGCCAGGGGCTTGGAGCCCGTGGTGTGCAAGGGGAGGCTGAGGGACCTGGGCTTGTTCAGCCTTAAGATGAGATGATTTGGAAAGGGGGAGGGTGGGGGGTGATGTGCAGACTCATTGCTGTCTGTGAGTACTGGGAGGGTGCAGAGAAACCAGAGCCAGACTCCTGTCAGAGGTATACAGTGAAACGACAAGAGGCAATGGACACAGGCTACAACCAGAGAAATTTTCGCTGAATCTCAGAATAATTTTTATATAATGAATGGAGAATTGAGTAAAAACAGGATATGCAGTCTCACAAAAGGGAAAGCTAGATGAAGAAAACACTTTACTTCTAGGAATTTGTCAAAAGCGAATAAACTGTATTACATGTCCAACAGTTGGAGAAGAATGGAAATCGTAGAACAACCCAGGTTGGAAGGGACCTTGAAAGATCATCTGGTCCAATGGTCCAACCTTTTGTGAGAAGGGGAAACGAGTAGAACAGAAGAGGCACACATTCACAAATTATTTCAATAATTAAACACTGATTTTTAAGTGAGGACATGTGGAAGGTTATTTCAGTAGATCCTGGTTTGCATGCTTTGTCTTCGGCATGCTTCTAAAATTGACCCTTAGGCTGTTGATTGCATAAGCCGCCCTCAGCCAAAAGAAACAAGCAAAAAAGCAGCCACTGTAGGTAGCTGATGAAAAATCCGGAACTATGTGATAATCTATACATCTGCACATCTCCAAAGCTTTGAAATTAATTCCCTGATGTATAGTACGTGATGCTGTATCAGTTCAAAGTTTTGACAAAATGCTGCTAGAAATTTCACAAGTTGTAGCCTGCTGGTCTAGTTAACCTCACTGAAACCTTAGACTCTATGTAAGGAAATTACACTCTCCGAAGGGTGAAAGAATGTTTTGACATTGCTCGTTCTAATTTTTTGAAAGTAATTTAGAAAACGCCAAATGCTTTGCTTCGGAAATTTTCCAGTTTTTTCATCTTCAGATCTGTAAAAATCATGTGCATTGTACTGAGACGGTGAGACTGAGTTCTAGAGACTGGCAAAGACATGCAAACCATATCCTGCCAGAGGATTTGATGGAGAAAGATAATGTTTGGGTTTTTTTTATTAGGTAGTTTTTGTCCTGCGAGTATGTAATTTTGGCTGTATGTCTCACAAGACATACATGTATACATTAATAAAGATCTAAAGCAGGTGTTACTCTTGTTATAATATAGCCAGATGCAGACTATTTGACAAAGATATTAACATAGTAAGATTGTACATTAAGATCTTTTTCTGAGCTAAAAGTTATCAAATTGGAGCTGGAAGAGCATTATAACAGGTCTTTTTATTGTAAGATCATCAAATAATGAATTCAATCTGCTGAAATAAACTCAGCTTGAATTAATACTTCAAAACTCACCTCTTCTATTTGTTAGTTGTGGGGTTTTTTTAATACTTGGGTAATTGGATGTTTTCAAAGGGAAAGGAATGAGTTTTGTTTCAGTAAATTGTATCTGTATATTTTTCTCAATTGTTCTGGGTTTTGGAGGCCTTCACAGATGACTAGTCATATTTAAAAGAATAGAAAAATGATTGACTACTGTTAATTGACTAAACTGTGGAAGGCCATGTCATTTTTTGTAGAGGTTTCACACCTTTTTGAATAAGAGATAATCAGTATCCAAATTATTTTTTTCTGTTTTAATCTCATAATAACAAATCAGCGCAATAAAACCATTTTAAAGAATGCAATAATTTGAAGAATGTTTATGTTTGAGATTTTTATATTACTGTTTTGTGTTCCAGGGTGAACGTGGCTTTGCGGGTAGTAAAGGCCAAGAAGGCGAAAAGGTAAATTATTCTGTATAAATGTTATTTACTTTTTCAGTTTAACAAATCAATATATGGTCAACCAAGTAGAGCTTTGTTCTGAAGGTCTTCCTTAACTCTTTCATTAATAAAATTCTGGTGGTTTTGCTATGTAAATGATTCCTGAGATGGATAAGAACAAGGAGGTTTTTATGCATGTTAATCAGTGTCATCAGTGCTTCTTTTAGAAACGCTTCTTTTTCCGTAAGAAAAGGTTTAATAATTAAGTGTAACAGAACCTTAACCACTGGACTCCAGTAGTGTTTACTGCTATCTTATAAATAAACATTTACTAGTTATCATAGAAATACAGTATGAAATGTACGATGAGATGATGTGTAGGTACTTATAGTGCTTAATTACTGCCTTTATACATTACACTTATTGTGTTGATTGTAACTACTAAATTTTTTTTTAATGCAAAAACAAAATTCAGCATTTGCTACAGCATAACTGACCACTGATTTAGAAAGATTGATTTTCATTTATATACTTCTGCGTACCTACGGAGTAGTTGACGTCAGTTTTGTCACCTTCACACATCTGACTCAGAGTGAATGAAGAAAGTGCAGTATTTTTGTGAGTTAGGCTGCTTTAGACATAGGTATATTCACTCACCATACCTCTTCAGAAGTGTCAGCGAGCTTTCCGTTGTTCATATTTTAAATAAAGCACGTTGTGGATTAACAGGATTTAAGCAGATTTAAAATTGTGGAGGTTTTTTTAAGAGGAAGTATTCTAGTAACCAGGAAGGAAGAAGTATCAGAATTAAAAACCAGCATCCATAACAACTAACTTTTATAATGTGAAGATTCAGCCTCTAAAAAAAAGCACTTGTTAAGCTTGAATATTTCTAACTGCACTGCCAGATCTTATTTCCTTGGTGGCATCGTTATTCATCAGTTCTGAAGGGCTTGTGGATTTTTTTTTTCCATAATTGCTCTGCAGCTGTGCTGTGCTTTCCTCAAGTTTTATGAATAAATTGTGTTTGGACATAGGCACGTGATTCCAGCTGTCGCTGCCACTCTCTTTGCTTGATTTTCCGTGTTTTAAGGCAGAGATAAAATGACCCAACCACTGGTAGTCACATTTTTTCTATGTGGAAGCTGAGTCAGCACATTTAGACAATTTTTAATTTCTTTAAATTCAGAAGTTAATTAAAAGATCCCATTTAAAAGTATTTCCAGTGTAACTATTAACAATGTATTCAACTATCCTTCAAATAAAAGGAAATACACAAGTGAAAGGATCTTTATTTACCAGTAATTACTCAAAAATAATTTGGGACAGTCTCATCAGAAGCTACACATTGTGGTTTGTGAGGAAAGAGTATGTTAAAAGATTATGAGCAGCAGGTCTCAGCCTGGACTTTAACTCAATTTAGACTTAATTCAATAATTATTGAAGAAAAACAGTGTTGAGTTACCAGTTACTGAACTCCAGAATTAAAAATATATCAACACTTTTGCATTTTAACACAGCATCACAAAATAAAATAATTTTACTAATTTGTGTGCAACTTAAAACTTGCTTTTTCCTAATGTAAAAAACTCTGCGTCTTGCGTATTAAGGAACAAGGTACCATTTGGACACTCCGTTCTGTGTATCACCTAGAGTGGGACACAGCTGCCTAAACATGGAATATTTGCCATTCCAATCTCTCTGCAGAAGTACATATAAAATGAGCCATCCTATATTTTTTATTTGGTGACCATATCATTTCATAGGATTGAATACTTGAAACCAACTCAGCCTTACATCTCTCAGTTCACCAAATCAATCCAGCTGACTTCGGCTTTCATTGTAGTACGTTCTGCTTTGGCAGAGCAATCTCTGGGGACATCAGGGAGATGTGGGCAACTGAGGCAAAAGTGAGAGGTCGTATGAACATTAAAGATACAGGAGGCATCTATAATTTAAACTATTGAGGGAAATTTTTTAGGCTGTTTAAAGGTTTCTTTGCCATGCTTGGCTCTCCTTGAGGAATCCAGAAGTCTTGTTCCACCTTCCTCCTTTTTTTTGATCTTGGTAGAACTTGTTTCTCTCTTACAGAAGCCAGTAGTGGTAAGCGAAGCTACAGACTCTGTGTGCAGATGTTATGCTGCAAGTGTTCCCCCCACGGGAAATATAATCTTACTGTAAATATTTTTAATTATCCTTTGTATTCTGTTTTCTTTGTGATACTTAAATAGTGACATTGTCTTATATGATAGTCTTACAGCTGCAACAAAAACATTGGTCTATCCTTCTATAGCATGGCTGGAAAAGTATATGCTGAGAGCAGTTTTAATTGGTTTGCTGCCAGATAGACAGACTATATCATGTGGATGTGTCCTCATTCTAATACTGTTCAGAATTATAATTTTACGATATGGCATAGAAAGTATGAATATTACACTTCATGATGATAGGAAGACAGGAGGGACTGACAATAACTGGAAGAAAGCTTTAAAATCCAGAATGTTCTTGGCAAATCAGAGATGAAGCTTGAAAAAATTAGGATCCAACACATAAGGAACAAGTGCAACAAACTACCTGTAGGGGAGAAAAAAATCTGAGTTGTGAAAAACCAAATCAAATAGTATCTACTCAGAAATTAAAATCTAAGGATTATTTGGATCAGAAGCTGAATACAAGTAAATTAAGTCAGCTGCAAATGAAAGACTCTTACTAAGGTGTTTTAAAGTGGAATATCATCTGCAACACAAATTAAATAGTCCTGTGCTATTTGGTATTGGTAAGACTTCAACTTAAACGATTTTGAAAGGAGAGCACTGAGAATGGTGCTCAGGAACATGTAACCTTTGAGGAAGGATGGCCTGAATGAGGATTGCTTAGTGTAGAGCCAGCCGTGTAAACAGTCTTCAAATACATAACACTGCTGCAAATAGGAAGGGAATGGTATATTGCTGAGTCTGTAGTGCATGCAAAGCAGTGGGCTGAAAGTGCAACAAGGAAGATGCTGGGTAGCCATTAGGAAAGGGGTTCTAATTTTAAAACTATTTTTCATTATAGAAGTCATTTCCTCTTCCAGTGGTCTGCACTTTTTATCCTGGTTACAGAACAGGGGATAAACCAAAGAAAGGCTTGCTTCATGAAAATATAGGAGATCAGATTATCTTAAATGACTTCACCATTTTCTGTTAATAGCATCAAAATTGTGCAAGGTATCACTTACACAGATTTCTAATTGGATAAGCACAGAGAACAGCAGGACAGTTTATTTTTCAACATATATCCGTGTTTGTTTTTAATACCCAGTTAATACTTTTCTCTGATAGCACAGTAAAGCTCTGGAACAGGTTGCCCAAAGTGGTTGTGCAGCCTCTTCTCATTGAGGTTTTCAAGACCAGCCCTGAGCAACCTGGCCTTACCTCACAGCTGAACCCTGCTTTGAGTAGGAGGTTGGACAAGAGACCTCCTGAGGTCACGTGCAGCCTCAATTATCCTATAGTTTTATGTATAATGAACATATATTTAATTTGGCACATGTTCACGTTATAAATCCTTGTAAAAGAGGAGAACGATATAAAATGATAATGGTTTGGAGTTATTGGGATTTTTTCCCAAATATTGGTGGGGATGGGATGTGAATGTACATTTAATTTACTGTATGGACTAATATTGTTCACCAGAATGTGTTATAGGCAATTTTTTTATGATGTATATATACATTCACGCACACTTGTTTTGTAGCATCACATCTAGAGGTGACCAGTGCCCTTCCTTAAATGTCCTGTCACCTGTCAACTGATGCCATCTTCCTCATAGAAGCTCTCATGGAACGCTTGTTTGGGTAGCATTGTCCATGTTCCTTGGATGATGGGTGTGCATGCATTCTCTGGGATGTTTTTAGCTTAGGTTTGCTGAAACCATACGAAACAGTTTATTTTTTTTATTTTATTTTCCAGTACAAGTAGTTACAAAATAAATTGTTCAATATAAATGAAATATTAAGGCATGGTCAAAATTTGTTAAATACGAAGAAAAGGGAATTCTTAAAATTAATTAGCATGAAAATTGCCAAGAAGCTGTTGAGTTGTCTGATCACAGCTCTATTCACCTGAGCTGTGGCAGTTCCCATAGTTGAAGTTCTGTCCCTGCATCTTCTAAATACAGTTTTATTTACAAGGTGAATCTTTTTTTTTCATTTTTACAGCCTTCTCTGTATTGCTATTTTCTCTGGTTTGTGCTTTTTTTTTTTTTGACTGCTTTCTTCCAGTAATTATTTTTTAAAAAATAAAATCAATCTCAGTCTTTGACAATTCAGAGTATGAAGGAGAGCCAGGCTCTGAAACCAGTGACACGTAAAATAAAACCTGTCTTTCCAATCAGCTTGTAGACAGAGTTTCTGGGACAGAGTTCTAACAAGCAGAGATCTCTGAACCTGGTTTTGATGCCTCTAGGAAATAATATAAATAAAAAATGGTAAAAAAGGAATAAAATATGGAATAGATACAGAGAATTACATGCAGAGAGTTGCTTTATAATGCACCGAGAACTTGAGCCATATAGAAATTGCAGTGCAGTGAAGTTACATATGTTCCTGCTTCGAACATGTCACAAGCCTCCAAATTGGAACAAAAAAGCACAGAACACCCAAAATAACAGACTTTAAAGCCAGGGGAAACACTGATAACAGAAAGGTCTACAAAATGGACCTCCATTCTAACAAGAAAGTTAGAAGCACCAGGTTTTCTTAAAATGTATGCTTAAAGCTATGTCACAAAATTTGGTGCATCATTTAATGACTGTCAGTTTACTCTAAGTGGAGAAAACCAAAATCCTCTAAACAAAAACAAAGGGCAGAGTCTTAGCTCAAACACCAGTTGGTATCATAAAATCATAGAATGGTTTGGGTTGGAAGGGACCTCAAAGATCATCTCGTTCCAAGCCCCCTGCCATGGGCAGGGAAACCCTCCACTATACCAGGTTTCCCAAAGCCTCATCCAACCTGGCCTTGAACACCTCCAGGGATGGTT